ATATGTGTGTGTGTGTGTGTGTGTGTGTGTGTGTGTGTGTGTGTGTGTGTGTATGTGTGTGTGTGTGTGTGTGTTGTGTGTGTGTGTGTGTAATATATATATATATATATATATATATATATATATATATATATATATATATATATATATATATATATATATATATATATGCACACATATTTATATATATTTAGCGTGTTCGTCTAGCAATCTTGCAGACCTGCATTCAATCCCACGCCCGGCCAGTGAATGGTAACCTTCCTTGCACACAGGGGGAGATTTGGAAACAAAATAAAACAGACAATATGTCACAGCAAAGAATATGCATTGTAACAAATGGAATTAAAACTAAAATCTACAAAAAGAAAAAAAAATCTTCCATCCAGGGGTGTCTCACACAGAGAGAACCTGGTGGGCAGGACAACCCTGTGGGAAGCGAGCCAGGTTGGCGATAACACGTCCTGTTCATCCGGCATGAGGACCTATTACAAAAGGCATCATGATATTCCAAGGCACAGATTCACTACCATAGAGGAAAACCGGCATTATCAGCGACTTGAAAACACACAGCTTGGTCCTTCTGCACAGTTACCTTCATTTCCAAATATTTTGTTGAGAAAATTCATGCCATGACTCCTGCTGCCAGGCCAATTCGTCTACTGACTTCCTGCTCTGATAGCTCAGAATTATGAACTACGACTACCAAGGAATGTAAAGCTCTCTGTGATGTCAATGTCCTTGCTGCAAGTGTTGAAAAGTGTTAGTGCAAGGACACAGCCTTATCTCACTCCTTAGCTAACAGGACTCCACCACACTTTAGAGCACTTTCAGTACCGGTATACATACTTGCTATGAGTCCAATGAACCCTGTTGGAATTCCTCACAATCTCTGGATCTCCTAGAGTGATTCCCGATGCAACATATCAAACACCTTGAGGTCAATGTAAGCAGCCCATGTCCAAACTCACGTCGGCGCTCTACAATGACACAAAGAGCCAGGATAGTCTATTTTGGACTTGCCAGTAATGAATCCAGAATGATCTATTATCTGGTTTTGGACCGGCCATTTAAGCAGATGGTCTCTGCAGCATGTAACCTGCGCACCATAGGTTCACCACCAGCCTTTAACAGTTCAGCTGGGATGCCGCAGATACCTGTTACATTATCACTCTTCAGTTTGGAGATCACTCCCTTAACTTCAGTTATGGAGGGTGGATCCTCATTGAAAGGTGGGTCCGGCAATGGAATCTCGACGCTTCCCGAATACAAGGTAATTGTTGGGGGATCAACCTGGTACAACTGCTTAAAATACTCAGCCAATGTTCTCACACCACAAGAAGATCTGAGAAGATCTGGCTATATACTGAGTAAATTGCTATCACCTGTGAAGAGGGCTTGGAGTTCATTTTTCTCAGTGTTTGGTTGCCAAGATGAAGGTCATTTATTAAGAAATAGCCTTCGACCTCCTCTGCAAGACTCCTACTGAACTGTTCCTTGTCCCTTCTTAGAGCCCTGCGCACCCGGGAATGATGCAAATCCCAATCCCCTTTTCAGACAAGCTACATGACAAGCTTCTGTGGCTTCCAGCATCTGCGAAATAAAATTCTGTCTTACTCTTGGGCGTTCACTAATTGATTCTTGAGTTACATCAAGTATTTCGCCCTTTCTCAATTCCTGGGACCTTGCATCTCATAGCCAGCTCGATCACAACCAAATACCACACTGTAGTCGCCAAAAACAATATGAATATTTCGCCGAGGAGAACTGTCTGACACAGATGCTAGTTTGGCGTAAAACATCTCTTTCACGTCCATTTTACAAACATCAGTAGGAGTACATAGCAATTAAAGACATAAAGCCAAAGGCAAGTTTCAGTCTCAATACCATAATACGTTCATGGACTGGAGTAACCTCTGGAGATGGCTATGGTTACTTCTTGAAGATGGTGACTATAGCTGCAGCCCGACCAGTAATAGGTGTAGCCACCCACACTGATCGTGCCGCTGCCAGGTCTTCTCACCTCCGAGAGAGCAACCACATCACCTCTCAGCCACCCCAGTTCCCTTGACACTAGTGGCAACTTTCGTAAAGAGCGGATGTCCCAAGCCCCTACACTGATTTCCCACCTGAGATTAAGCTTCAGGCAGTCAATCAGGGTGGACGCCACCTCTGCCACCCCCATAAAGTGAGGGGTGGCTGGCCACAGGTCCATAAATCCACCTGTGGTGGTTCCGTGGGCTTTGACCGAAAAGCCTCATGCCAGGTTGGCAGCCACTGGGACACAGATGGAACGGGAAACCCCAGCTCCCAATCTGAGTCCCAGCGGTCGTCAAACCAAAGGGACCTGAAGCCTGCCTTGCTGAGAAGGAGGGATGTGTTGTAGCACCAACATGTAAATGAAACACTGTCAGTTTGTGTTCTCTCAGGGAAGCGGACTGGCAAGGACCGCCTCCCCACAGCCACCCATTAACCCCAGGGGGCAAGGGGGGCAAGAATTAGT